TTATTATGAAAATTTGGGAGGATTAAGATTAAATTCCTTCCTTTCTAATGGCCTATCAAGCTTGTCTCGGTCGTTACTGGTTAATTTTTGCGCTTGCCTTTTAGATATTGTCCTCGTTTTGCAGGAGTTTTAGTCATATCTCCGTCGTTTATGGGTGGTTTCCCCTGTAATTACTCTCATTGGGTCCGTTTGGGGGACATCTACATTTCCTATTATAAACACGACTTTGAATTTTGCATTAGTTCCTGAGGAATCCTTGTTCCGTGGTACTTCCATCCTTGGCTACGTGTGCGGACATGGGAAAGTAGTTTCCGTGGAGGTTCTCTGATTGTTTTTATAGTCAAATCTTGGTCGATTGTCCTAATTCTTGTTTTAATATTTGCTATAAATTCCCCCGGGAATTCCGTCTCATTGATGGTAAGCTTGAAGTATTTTTGCTATTTTTCTTTCTTTCGATTTATCGCGTATAGTCATAATAATTCGTAAAAATTCGTGTCCTTCTGTTTTCTTATATCTACTTGTCATATGAGGTTTTGTGATTTATCTGGCATATTTCCATAATGGGTTTCCATAGTGTGACCGTTATTTCTCCTACACCGATGAACCCCCAATCCCGGAGTTCCGGAGGAAGAGCAAGTCTTCCAAGGAAGGCAGGCTTGCCGCTATGGCAAGCAATGTCCTCCTGCCCAGCAGGAATATTATTGTTTTAGGATTCACCAAAAACAGGAGAATATGTTTGTCACGGCCATGCATTCTGGCCTGTTAGCCGCCTGTCCCGATGCCGCCCGAGCCCGTTACCGCTATGCGAGCGTGAGCGTGAGCCCTGACCTCAGCCCTATCCTCCCTGAGGACTCCCTGCTCACTTCCCCACTTGCCCCTAGGCTCCCCTACACTTGGCCGACTCCCCCACTGCTGCACCAACCTCCCCACCCTGAGTCCGCCTCCGGCACCGTGCCCATCGCCGACTCCTCTACCCCGCCCACTATCATCCCTGCGCCCGACTCCGGCCCAACTCCGAGTCCAGCGCCGCTACGATACCATCGCCGCTATCGCGGCCCTACACTCTTTCCTTTATTTATCTGTTATTGTTTGTTTTGACCCTCGGTCATTGCCGGCCGCTATGCAGCCAACCCCACTCCTTATTCTTGTTTGCTTCCGGACCCTTCGGCCTCCGGCCCGGGTCCGCTTCCATTCATTTCTTCCTCCTATATATATCCTGTATGATACTTTATTGTACCTTAGCTCTAATATCGATGTGACCACGACCCCTAAGTCCTGGCCCCAACAAGGCAACCCCAGTGAGTCCGAAATGAGGGCCAAGAGACAGCTAGGGGGCACAGCACTCCCTTTAGAGTTGCTGAGGCCAAATGCCCTACCCCTGGGCCTTGTTCGCAGCATCACAGCCATCGTGGTGTCAGGGACGCGTCCGGGGTAGAGGGGGTCCGGATGTATCGCCCGGCAGAAGGGCCCTCACGGGGTGCAAACCGGGCGCGCGTGCTGGCGGGTCCGGGGAGGGACAGCAGTCCCTGGCCACTTAGACTGAAGTGGAGAATGTGTTATTGTTATTAAAAGGGAAAACTATACTACTTACCTGAAGTGGAGAATGTGAGAAGAAGGTTACTTCTTCGGTTCCCACTTCAGGTACATTTATGTACATGCGGCTTGAGTCACATGACAAGTGCCACGTCGCCCTCGGAGGCAGCCGCAGGCATCCGGGTATCCCTGTGGGGGATCCCGAGAGCGTCCGCTGCATGCACACGTGTTGGGCACAGCGGGGAGCCGTCCGGGGTGTGTGGGCCGGACGGGTCAATAGTACATTGATACAAAGGAAGGTGGTCCATGTAGATAGAAGGAAATAAACAAGAAAAGGAAGATGAGAGGAATGAGATAAAGAAAAGGGGAAGAAAGAGAGAAAGGAAAAGGGGAGGAGAGACAGAGGAAGGAGGAGGGAGAGGGTTGGACAGCGGGGAGCGGGTGTGGTGTGGCCGGGTGGGTCCGGGTGGACCCGGGTCAGGCGGGTGTGCCCTGACACGTGGCCTATAGCGGCCCGCAACGGTGACCTTCGGTGCCGACCCCGGACCAGTGTCTAACAATGTTGGAAATTCAACAGCTACCTAAGAGAGTGGCTTTCAGCCACTATGGGATCAAGGTGGTGTGGACAGAATATTATATTCTTATATTCTTCTCCGTTCACTTGCCATGCCTTGCACGCTTTGGTGCACACTTTGATTGCACTATGCACTTGGACCTCAATGCTCAAACATAACATCCTGCATTTTGTTCATCTTATGCCACCCTTACTTCACTGATGTGATGCTGAAGTGAGAGTGACATTCTGATCTACTAACAATGTCATGTACGATAGTTTGCAATCTAGGTACATTGTTGAATACATAGTTCACTGACATGAAGCTGAGTTCGCGATCGGGTAATTATCACAGAATAAATATTCAATCATTTATGTTATGGGACAGGAACCATATGTGGATGCAAAGTGTTATGGATACGGAGTCTCCAACGACCATATCCGTCGCATGGTCAAAGACTTCCCCTCTCTATCGCTCCTCCCCTCTTTCTCCCTTCCATCCTCTATCCCGATACCCTATCCTCCTTACCCGTTCTACCCCTTTCCCCCCTCGTGCAAAGCTTTCCCCATTGGGGTTTTGGTGCTGGCCGAGGTTGTTTGTGTTTCGCGGGATTTCCCGCAACCTTACCATTTGTAGATAGTCACGCGTCTTGTACGGAAACTGCCGAAGGCGGTTCCCGCTAACTAACAACTGCTCTACAACTGTCTCGTGTATCATCTTCTGTAACAACCCTCCCTGTGACTCAACTGAACCCGTGTGACTGTACAACTCTCAAGATGTCTTATAAGTCTGGTTATATCGAGTCCTCTAACGGCCCTTGCTGCGAGAACTCGAAGTCGAGAGTCGAAGACTCTCGACATGTGTATCGTCCTATTGAATCTGTACCCTATGGGTCCTCGTCACTCCGCTCTCCCCCCAGTACTCGACATACGACGTCACATCACGATCATGGAGATCGTGAATACTTTGAGGCCCACTTTCCCGTGATGCCGGCACGTTCGCTACGTGAACGCCAAGTCACCGCCCATCCACCGTCTGTTCCCTCCTTCGTCAGTCATCATGTTTCCCCACCAACGGTACGTTCCCTTTGGGAACGCCAAGTCACTGAAGGCCCTACTAGTCAGTCCTCATTGCACGCTCATGACATCAACCCGCTACCGGTACGTTCGCACTGCAAATGCCAAGTACCCGATGGCAACTATACAAAGTTCTCACCCATCTCACAAGTTGCGACCTCGCACATGGTACGCTCCATCGAGGAGCGCCAAGTACCTGTGGCTGACCCATCCGTCCTGGCATCTCCGACTACCTACCATCAATCCCTTAATAGCTCACTACATCACCAATCGTGATCGATGGGAATTCGATCATCCACTCCCAGGCAAGACTGGGATCACTCATCGATTACATATCCCGTTATGGTACAGACCAGTTATGACCTTCGTCATCCCACTATAAGAACGGATCGAGGAATGGGGAATTTCCCCCATCCCCATAACACAAAGTCTGGGCACAAGCAAGGTCGGGGTGGCGCAGCAGCCATTTCTAGTCATGAATTGAAACTTGGAAGCCATGGGTGACTCACTGCACAGTCATGTGACCCCGGAAAGTTAAGAACCAGTTCCGCCACGAGGATGCTGTTACGGTTAAGCCATAACCCCAGACGGACTTAACGGAGGTTTCACATGTCCCGCATATCTCAGTTCCATTTCAACTCATGTAGCTTAAGACTTCCTGTATGTTTCTCTTGTCTCATATGTCTCACCTCGCATGTTTTAGCACATCTTCATGTATATAAGGAGTTGACCAGTGAAGATGGACTCTTCAACTGGTCAACACAGGTCACTAGCTGAGGAAATTTGTATCCGGTGCGACTACTGGACTTATCCGGAGCTCCAAATTCTTATGACGTAAACCAGCGTGACTGGACAAATGACATAAAATGGACAAGCCTGGTATCGAACCCAGGACTTCTAGCGTGCATCCATACACTACTCGCCCGTTATGCCAGGGGGGGGGTACCCCTTCCCTGATGGTTTGGGAGATCACTTGATCCCTTCCTCCAACACTAGCCTCAATAGACACCTCGTGATCTTGTTTCTCGTGATCTCATGACTCTCGCTCCGTTCCCACGCTCGCTAGCGCCGAGAGGTTCGTGACAGATGCTTTGAATCAGGAGGCCAAGCGAATCGGTCATCCACCATGAGAAAGATAAACCTAAATTGGGAAACATTGTTACTGACCCGCCATCATTTGCAAGCATTTGAAGCGATCGCACTTGCACCAGGGTTAAGTATTGCAGACAAACATGCGATTTGTCTAAGATCGAAGCATGGCATCTCCCGGCCTAGGTCGCACAGCCGGGTCTCAGACAATCGGTCGTCCATGAGCTTGCGTCGCACACAAACGTGTATCTCCCTATGTAAGTCACACAGCGGAAGAATTCATTGTCACGCGATGAACATTCCGACAATTTTGTTTATGTAAGCGCAACGATGGCCGACCTCAGTACATAAATAGAAAGTTTGACCCCTTCTGAAGCTCCGTACCCATAGTGCCACATCACCATCTCAGCTGAGCACCCCCTTTTCATCATACCATGTTTAAGATCGACCAGCCCATTCTTGTCGACACCGAGGACCCAGAATATTACGCAGAGCTTCTCTCCAAGACTTACAGACCCCCAAATCGGTGGCTATCCAATAAAACACTTTGTTCACGCATCCCCGGCGTTCAGGGTGTCGACGACACCTCCCGGCGCATACGGGCACTTCTGGATGCAGTCGCCAATATCTCACTCTGCAAACAAGGAAATGCCTCCGCTACAATGGCCTGCGTAAAGGCCAATAAAGGCGCTCTAGAAACGCGAATATACATCGCTTTCAACAACGAAGATGACGGCGCGGCTAGAAATTGTCATGTTCACCTACAGTCCATCTTTGATAGGCTTTCCTGTATCCCCCATGTAGTAGACGGCTCCCCGAAGGACGTCTCGGCTGAGTTGGAGGGGATCATACCTGAAGTCTGCAGAACCATTCACAATTACTCATTCGACCTTTTTGCGTATCGCGTTAACAAGCACAAGCACGAGCTTTCCGACATTCGGAGGTACATTGAGCAGGATGACCATCAATTCAATTCCCGCCAGCGTTCCAAGTTGTTGGATTTCTTATCGCATGTGGAGTCCATTATCAAGGTTGTTGCCAACGCACAAACAACGAAGCAACTTTCTATCAGTTTTATGCTCAAGCTTTTAAAGATCTATTCGTACTGGAAAGCGAATCGTCTTCTCCCCAAAGAAGGGCATGCCGACAATGTGGGCACATTGCTTGACCTCGCGGATACGTGGCTTGCTGACGGTATGTGATATGATGCCTAGATGGTTGCTCTCACCTGAATCTACATCTTTCTTAGCCCACAACATAGGTTTCCGGCTTCGGCGTTGGGCAACGAAGATCATGTCCTTTGTGGACTCGGTCAACAGGCTCCTTATCTTGACCCAGCCGCGCCGCCTCCGCGGATTTATAGACGGGACCTTCGCAATTACACCCCTCTCATGTCCCACCATGACTCCGTATCGTTGTGATCTTTCTTCAGAGAACATACGAGTGGCTCTGGATGCCGCGCTGAACCAAACCAAATACTCTACTGCGAAGTGGTTAGAGGAGCGCGAATCGTTCATTGTGTGGCTTCAGGATAAACTGAAGGATTCTGAGGCGTGCCACCGGAAACCCACGGTCCACGCCGAGCTAGTCATGATTACAGCAATGCTCAGGGGCGAACTCCAGGGAGTTTTACCCCACATCGGGGTCTCTAAACCTTCCTGCGTTATGTGCATCCACTATAACCAGGCCCTCAAAGAGGTTACGGGGAAACGGATCGCTGTCAATGGTTCTCATGGGAAGGCCTACCCTGGGTGGTCATGGCCTAGTCTTCCTTCCCACGACAAAGAAGTTCGTAGAGCTTTTTTACAACTTAACAGACAACAGCTCTGGAGCGATTTCAACTTGCATGTAGAATCCCGTAGAGGTTCTAGCCTGGAATCTGCCGATCCGGGATTTGAATCAGTTGCAACAGAGGAGGAAATTAAGGAAATCTTCCGTCGTGAATTGTCAATGCCCCCTTCGTTAGTATGTGTAAAGTAGCCCTTGGGCTTGGCGAAAATTGCAAATGATTGTGTAGTTTCGATTGAAAGGGTCTCAAATCATAACAGCGACAGCCCCGACAACCGCCGAGACTTCAAATTTCGCGGTAATATACAAAGGAGACAACAACAAGCTTGCGAGAGATGTAAGTAAAATTTTTGATAAAATTGGTAAAGTAAGTACAAGCCAACAAGCAGCAATGTTATGAGAAGTCTGTCATGAAACGAGTGTGAGAGTAAGTGCGCTTTCCCCCCTTCCTTAGCTGAGGGGTGTTCCGACTTCCTTCTAATCTGTTGCTTGCGCACACTCACTCAGGACTCTCGTCACTTGCCTGTGTCACTTGCCGTAGCACAATTACGTAATTTCTGACGTTGAATTACCTTTTCTGTTCTTACGTGATTTTCCGTCCTTCTGATGACAAGATCGCTTTGGTGCTGCGTCACCATCTTTTGTTCCCACTCTCCTTTGTCGAATTCCTCCAATTGACCGCTTGTCCTGGTTTGTTTGCTGCCATGCAATGCTAATCGGTTATCGCTCCCCTCTTTCACCGTGCGAACGGAAAATTTATTTTTTTTGGCGATATTCCTGTACTTTATAGTGCTATGCATGTAATGAATTCCGATACTTGGCCGGGTTGTACGTACATGCGACCTAGCTAAAGATGGAAGCATGTTAGCACTGCACACTTGCGAGGCGGTGCAGTCACAGGCAAAACTCTGCCTCTATAGTGCTGCCACCGAAATTGGCGGCCACGCTTGCAAACTTTCAACAGCTCATAGGAAGCAGGATATGGGAACAGGATGTAAATAGACCCAGCCTGGTCGAATGTTGACCTTCCTTTCTGTGGTCAACCGACCCGAAGGGCCTAAATATAAAAGCACCGAACGGTGCTGGGGCTAAAGTATTTATTTACCTCAGCCTTACTGCATGCATGGGAGGACCCCTATGTAAGTGACCTCCGCGGTCAGACACACATATGGCTCTTGAGGTTCGTCGCGGGAAATGCACCTGCGCCACACTCGAGACATCCGCGATGTTCAGTCCCAGTCCCACGAGCATGTTCTGTCATCCCTTGTATGCCCGTTTACAACGATCATGAGAGTTTTTTGTAGCTATTTTGGTGTACAAACGCAGCAATCAAGCATGCCATGGGCCCTTGAAGCGTGTGAAAAAATTTACCTGAACGTGAGGTTCTCGATTCAATTAGCAAACTTGGACGGAAATGGGACCGCTTCCGGATCAATATATATTACACACATAGAACCAGGGATGTGGGACGACTCCAGAGCCTTTTCGTCCAAACACCCATCAACCCCTCTCAGGAGAGCCTGCGGCCTAAGACAGCGTCGCACGCTACTTTCCCGCCATGGCTGACAAGGTGAGAGTTCCTGTCCTAGTTCCCGTCCTGAGCCTCTCGAGCTTGGGGGGCTATTTTCGGGAAGCCAATGAGCCCGACAATTTTAATATTCGGTTTATCAGCAAACGTACAATCCCTATGAGCAGTATCAGCAAGGTGCTCCTGGCTATGTCCAACCCCCGTACGGGGGCTCACCCGGCTACGGTCAGGCTACATTTCCTCCACAGCAACACTCCCCTCAGGGTGGACAGCAGTTTTTCAACCAATCGACCCCTCAGCCTTCACCCGGAGTTCAAAATCCGAACCCCGCATTCCCTCAGCAACAATGGTCACAACCACAACAAAGCTATCAACCCGGTCAGCATCCCCCCGGTTATCAGGCATCTCTTTCGCATACGCCTTCCTTTCCTCCCCAACAACCCGTGCAGGCGAGTTACCCTTCGCAGGGACAGGGTGTGCCCCAACAACAACAACAACAGCAATATATCGCTCAGCAACCTAGGGCTGCGCCTCAGATGGTCTATGGCGCAGGTGCAGGTGGGAACCGCAATACGTTGAACAAACCATTCAATGCGGCCGGTCAGAGGGAGTGGTCGTTTGGAACCTGTGATTGCTTCGACGCATGCGGAACATGTTTATTCGCATGTTGCTGTAGTTGTCTTTCGTATGGACAGAACATGTCTAGGCTAAAACATTTGGAGTCCCAGGGAAGGCCACACCCTACTGGGGGCGACATGTGCAACGGGGATTGCTGCGTATATCTGCTACTTGCATATATCGGTATGTCTTCTTTTCTCCTCTTCTCGCTGGCTCTCGAGTCCAGTTCTAACTATTTCTCTCAGGTTGCGAATGCTTCGCCGGTATGAGTGGAAGGTCGAGTGTTCGTCGACGATACAATATCCAAGGAGACGGGTGCGGGGACTGCATGTGCCATACTTTCTGTATACCGTGTTCGTTGACACAAGAATCCCGCGAGCTTGGGCTTGAGGAAGGGAGCGAGCTCAGTGGAAAGCGTGGCTGAGCGCATTTCATCTGTCCTTTGAGATCGTCCTCTTTTTTTTTTTTTTAATGGTTTACTTTTGATCGTCGCCCGCACTCGATCCACGCCCGTGTTTCTTGTATCCTTCATCTCAGATGTGGTTGTTTCAGTGCTCTGCGTACATTGGGAATGTTTACCGTTTAAGCCTTTGCCTGAGAGAATGGCATCTCATATTCCCGTGCGGACCCACTGCTCCGCATCGCGTCAGAGTCGATCATGGGTTCAAATGCCTCATTGGGCGCTTGTCCCAAGATGGATCATTGCGTTACCGACATGAGGCATAAGTATTCGGCTCGGTAGGTCTTACATCACCTCGACATGCTTCTAAGCAATCGCTCTGTATGGCGGTGCCGGCGGTTCGCGCGTTGTTATTTCAAACACCACCGGCCAATCTTCCACACAAGGACTCGAACATACGCCAAGCCTCTTGCTGCACCCCCTGCCAGCATTGGGTTGTTTGCGGCATTCTCGCGTCCTCGGCTCCTGGACTCGCTCGTTGTATAATCTCAGAGACAGTAATTGCAGAGGAGGTAAAGCCCATTACTTCAGGTCCACCCGTATCAATTGAGCCGGCTCAAGAGCGATATGCAGCGGGGACACCATCGCGCTGAGCACCAGGGAAATCTGAACGTTGTTCGATCAACATGGCACCAACACGTGGGCCAATATTCTCAGGCGCAATTAATGATAGTCAGGCGCGCTGCCATATATGTAAGTAAAAGATTTGAAAATCGGATTACCACCTTTCTACCAGAAACAGTAGTCAACAAGTCTGGTCTAGTCTTACCCTCCTCATGTTTCGGGCGCTCGCCACGGGCCCTATTAATGCAGCGATGGTGGGGCATTCAGTTAGGCGCATGCTCGATCAACTTGCTATCGTCGTCGCAAAGAACTGACCTGGAGAGGGCTTATCTCTGGGTCCAGCACCTGACCACGGAAAATCCCACGTTTTCCCCGCACAGCAGTATCAAATCCGGACCCATCATACCTTCAACAACCGTGGCGTTGGCGCTCGCTTGGCCCAACTCAAATATCAGGTGAACACTCTCTCAAATTTTGAAATTGAGCGGAGTTATCCTGAATTAATTGTTATAATTTCAAATTTGCGGAATTCAAAGTGTCCCATGACAATCACTTTTAGGCCAATAATGTTATCGCAGCTCCTCGCTGCGCCATCAGCAAAGGGGGGGGGGGGACGAGTAGCTCAGCTTGAAAGGCTGGATATCCTCTGCGCAGCATTTGACTTCTGCTGCGAGATGAGGTGTGACCGCCCATTACTTCCTAGCTTAGACGAGAGCTAGAATGGCCCCACACTCTTCTTGGCGCCCCCATGCTACTGTCTCCACACTGTTCGATCTAGTGACTGTGCTGGTGCTGCGTCTACCGTGATATATATGGACTATATTCTTGTCTCGCTGACCCTTGGAACGCCCCCCCCCCCCCCCTTTTGCATTGACTGACAGGAAATGCCAGAGAAAGTGAGTCGTATTCCCCGGTCATTCGTCGAATGGAAGACGTGTGTAGCTGAGGCCGCACATCTCCAATGCTCCTCAGTTCACCTACAACCCACCTTCTTCGGGAGCTAACAGTGGTGCCGCCGTACCATCGGCAGGGGAGAATCCAGCGACGCAGTCGCCTGGTCGTTTTACTTCTCTGATGCACCATCGCACCCTTGCGCAATATCAAGAAGCAACGCCGTCGCCACCATACGATGAATTCGGAACTCAGACAGCGGATACACTGTACCCTCCTATAGGGAGATCTCAAGGTCCACAACCGCTGCCGCAGTCCCACCTGTCTGACTTGCCGGAGCATTTGACTGGGCGTGGTACTGGTGGTTTGGCGCCAATATCGTCACAAACTGCTCATACCAGGCTGAATCCTACTCGAACACCCTTTCAAGCACGACCCGTAAATACGACCTACATCTCCCAACAACCCTCCACCGCTCCCCAAATGGCCATTTCCGGTGGTGAAGGCCTCGGCGGTAATCGCAATGCCCTTGGTAAACCCTTGAACGGACCTGCAGGTCACCGTGATTGGTCCTTCGGATTATGCGATTTTTGTGGCGCTTGTCAGACGTGTCTTTTCGCGTTTTGTTGTCCCTGTTTTGCGTACGGCCAGAATATGTCACGTTTGAAATACCTCAAGAATCAGGGGACACCGCATCCTGAAGGTGGGACTGTACTCAACGCGGAAAGCGTCACGTACTACGCGTTCATGCATCTTTGTAAGTATCAAGGGTTGATCCCGAGCCTATTTTTGACCACCAACCTTCTACGTAGATATCCCAGGCTGTTACTCAATGATAGGACGAAGAGAGGTCCGCAAACGATACAATATCGAAGGGAACCTTTGCACGGATTGTCTGACTCAATGCTTCTGTTCACCTTGCTCCATCACGCAGGAGAGTCGGGAAATTGAGCTTGAAGAGCAGACTCTTTTCCCACGGGTCACGGGTGCACGCGCAAACCAAGCGTACAGCTTGAATTAGTTACGGGACCCATACCGTCAATTTTCTTGCTCGACGGTATTTTTCGTTTGCTCCCTTTTTCATCGCCATACATTCTATCGCCTAAAGATGCGTTCGTGTTCTGAAGGATCCAGTAATCTTTTCACTCCAATTCAATTTGACGAATTGAGACTCTTTTTACAATGACTTTCTCGCTTTAATGTTCACTGGTATACAGCGGCAGCAGTCTTACTGATGCACTGTGAGTCTACCTCCATGGTCCACCCTAAGCAGGTTACCAACCTCTATGGTCCACTTGCTAGTGTAGTGCTCTCAGCCTTCCCATACTTTTCGACAGCATGCCTTGCGTGGCACACGTGCCAAAGGACTCATCAATTGCTCCATGCAATCGACCGGCTGGGACTCGTAAGACTTCCCGAGTTCAAGTCTAGAATATGTATATCTGTCTCACTGCTTGTGCTGGAGAGCGATGCGCCCAATTCTACACATGGAGAGGCCGCTTAGATCCGCCGCCCAGAGTACGCGGCGTACTCTGAACAGTTTGACATGGAGTGGATTTAAATAGTGAAAATACAACACCACAACTTCGCGTTGCAGAATAGCGGCTGGTGACTTGTCCGGTGTCCCAGTCATGCACGAATGTACCGGCAGATCACCCACTTGCCGCCTGTGCCAGCGGGCTCTGGATTGGCTTGTTTCCTATTCCCAGAAACCGCCATCCATTGCTGATCGTTACTGTGTGCTTGCCGCGTGCCATACGCTCCAGGGAAACATATCTCTTCTGTGCCTAGCAGGTGCACAAAGGCACTGCTGTGCAGGTCACATCAACATCAACAACCGCATGCAAGAGCAGTAGATTGTTGCCCAACAGTTCTCGACTAGATTCTAATAGTAGCCCTTCAACTAGTAACGCATTCACCGGTGAATTTGTGAGGTACAATGTACTCTATGCGCTAGGACAATCCTAGACCGCCACCTCTTCAACCTTACGTACGTTCTTGGCATACAGCTGGGCTCGTGCTTACTGAAAATCTTGTCACCAGGACGGGAGTCCACACCACATTAGGGAGAGGACCAACCTCATGATAACTCAAACACGCGAGTTTTCGTGACCTCAAAGTAATCCTTATATCCTCAACTGCTCGTATGGCCTTGAGTATTTGTGCCTAAATACTTCAAACCGTTCAGTTGTGCCACATGTGGTGGTGCAGATGGCTCAAAGTCGACGGGGTCCTCTGCACGGTATGTGGACAAACAGATACTCAGGTTGTGTTCAGGAGAGGAATTCACACAGTTTTTTCAGCCACCGTTTGATGTCGTAGGATACTTGGCATTCGCCAGCCTCCAGGATGCAGTAACGGGGGCACAGCGGGCGCAACATAAAATTGCCGCGTAATTGTGGGGTTGGAGCTGAGCATCTGATTCTGAACTCAGTTATGGGTGCAGATTGGAGCCTGAAAAAAATTGGGACTCAGGCGAGAGCCCTAGAGGACAGATTTACACCTTATATTATATTTAACACTATAGTGAACGCAATGAGCCTCGGCACGGGAAGGAAAGTCGTGATTCGTTTGATTACCATTCTCGCAGTGTGCCTCGCACATCTTGTTTGTTAAACTAGAAAGGAGAGTGTCCGGATCAATGTACCAGCGCATCGTTATGCTCCATGGGTCACTGATTACAGTGACTTTCGCTACCGTATAGATCAGCGCCAGCGTTACCCATGGTATTGGAATTGGTATAAGATGGGATGAATGGCTCGGCCACCGTTGATTGATGATACAATTTGAGTCGTCCAGAAGTCGAGAAGGATGATGTATGTACAGTCTCGTGAATGGTGAAAGGAAGGATTGAAATCTGCCCCAGGAAGGGTGGCTAGGTGGCGATGGTCCCACCGATGGGTCTGTGACAACAATCACCCGTTGACGAATATATACCTCCGGAACGAAATGGCCCGAGAAGCAACGATCCATCGGGGGGCGTCGGTGGCAATTTCGGATGGTTGTACATATATGAACCAGAATATAATCGGAAGGATCTCATACTCTCTTGCAACGACCACGAGCAACGCCTCACCGTTGGTGCGGGTTTTCAACACACAGATGACAGGCAAATGAGAATGGTATTGGTAAGTTTTTTGGGTGCATACAAGCATGAAAACACATGTTACAATGATGAGAACGTCCCAAATAGGTGCGCGCAAGCGATGCATCCTCATAGAATACTAGTTGCTGAAGGGGGAAGCGGGATATGCTAGAGAATGTAATGGCAGCATGGGTGTGATAGCTGGCATAAGCGTATCATCGGCCAGGAAAGAAAGCGCTCCCTGCTCAATGGCTGATGGCCTAGCCTTAACGTGCCGGCGCTTACCCTCTGGGGAAATGTGTGCCTGTGGCACCATTGAAGTTGGGCCACCGACCACTGATGGTCGGAGCTAGCTCGATAACCTGACCGATGCAATGGCTCATTAGTTTAATCGAAACCGTACACAAACAAAGAGTTCCCCCACAGAGTTTCGAGCCGAGGTTTCGGTAGGAGTATGTGACCATTCACCATCCTGGGTTGTGGGAGCCGATGGCTCCAGTTGAGCATGAGGGAAGATGGCAGCGGAGGTTGAATGGGGTTCGGAGGCAAGTCCCACAGAAAACTGAGGGTAAGATGGTGCAGGATCTCCGGAAATGGGCATGGCAGCTGGGTACCCATTGTGCGCTAGGGGGTGAGGCGCCGAGGATCCCACTGGTACGATTCCAAGATACTGAAGTCGGCCATATGGTTCATGTTGGCCAACTGGCTGAGGCCCTCCGGCGAGGATGGATCGGATGATTCCCCGGTCCTGAAGTCTTTTGCCGGTGGTATGACACAACAAATGCAGGATCAGCCTCTTGTGGCTGAGAGCCTGAAGGAGAGGGAGTCTGGAGCCAATATACGTCACCTGTGTTGGGGGGTGATTGCATCCCTCGAGTTCACCCACCTCATTTTGAAATGAGCAAACAGCACCTCTACAAATCTTACAGCGATTCTTCGGCATGCCTTTCCTCTCAGGGATTATATGAGAGTGGTGATGTCGTTAGGCTCTGGCGTAATGAGCGGCGGCTGTGTGATCCCAGGGAGTTCTCGTTCTCGACGATTGAGAAGAGTGGTGCAACCCCAACACAGGGAACGGTTGAACTGTGTTTGTTGAACAAACAACGCGTCGGCACATTCCTTGCCGTGATCCAGCTTCTTCAAAGCCACAGCCAGGACTCCAGCCTCTATGACTTCGTAATATTAGATCCGAGGACTTAGCTTCATCAGGAAATTGTCGCGGTCAACTTTGGACACTTCTGATGATCCTGTTGCTTCTAATACAATGAAACTGGCCGAATTGACCAATTTCCCAAAGCATTTTAGTAAAGGTGTCACGTTTCAATTCAGTTAAGAAGTGAACTCAATTGTTTTCAAACCATTTGAAGTGAAACCCTGAGGACCTTTTGCTGATGTTATACGACATGTCACTAGCTTTGTTGGACAATATCTTCCTCTTGATCAAACTCGTCCTATGGGCAAGCATAAGACTGCTACCAGCCGCCACACGATCAAAAGCCTCATTGATTCTCTGGAGGTCGGTTAGATACAACATCTACGGAAGGCCATGCAAGGATCGTTTTGCCAATGCAATGTTACTGCCCGCTAATGCGCGATGACGCAAGGAAGTGAGCTTGGAAGAGCGACGTTTTCCTCCATTCAGGACAACTCATTCGTTATGTATAATATCCTAGTAGCAATGGAACGATGCGATTGCCAGGAGGGTACCATCAACCAGCGGAGAAGGGAAGAAAAAAAAACCGAGGACCAAGGAAGCGCTGATAAAAGCTCCTACGCAGCAATATGAGAAACGTCCCTATCCCAAGCCCTATGCTTCGCCACCTCTTTCAAGAAAGCGTCCACAAATTCACCCACAACCACCTCCGTCACATGTTCGCTCAAAACCACGCCATGTACAACACTGACTTCCTCCCCTTTGACTTCCCGGACCAACTCTCCAGGAAGAACGACATTTTCCAGCCAATCGACTGCAATCCCAACAACACCGATAGGCTTCTGATGCGCATACGCTTCACGAGCTGCATAGATCAGTCGGCCAGATTTCGCGAGCGCTTGAGCATATTCGGGAGTAGATCCGCTTGCGAAGAACGCTGCGTCCCAATGTGTGGAGCGAGAAGTTTCGAAGCTGGATTGAGCATGGAAATCGATCTTCGTAATTTCAGTTGAGCCGATCGCCGCTTCACTTTTCACTAGTCCCACACGGGGTCCAACGATGACGGGAACGGAACCGATGGCTAGGATTTCCGCCTGAAGCCTAATCACAACAGCAGGTGAGAAGCCATCGAGGACATAAATTCCAATCTTGCGGCCCGAGGCGGAGAAAGTGTTGCGCGGTGAGAGCAATGAGAGGTAATCGGAACGGTGCCCATGATTCGTTTTGACCGGATCGGGAGGGGGAATGGAAATTTGCACAGCGACTTTACGAGCGAGGTCATTGTCAATCTACGAAGAGTCATGTTTAAGGGGACACAATTTTTTAACGTTTAGGGAAACTTACGTTGTTCAAGTAGGCAATGACGTTCTTATGAACCCGGATATCCTCCACCTTTCCAAGCTCAAATCCGATCGTAGCAACAAGGTGTTGCTTTTCAACAGTAGAGAGCGAATTATAGAAAAGTGTAGCTATTTTGTAGTCGGGATGAGCAAACTCCGCAACTTTTCACCGCAACGAATTTCGACAAACCTTGGTCCCAATGCTCCGCGAATTTCGGACCTCTTGCGCGAGTTTTGTGCGCATGAGACTCGATAGGTTGTCCTGACACAAGGTACCCTCCTTCATCTGGTGGAACAGGATGTGCCCCATTGTTCGCATCGCGATTAGGATAATAATTGATGTGACCTATATAAACCAAGAATTTTGCAAGTGCCAGATGAACTGAACCCCTTGACACATACCTGTTGTGATGATCCTGCGATGCTGCCCACCCCTCTGGAAGTTAAACACGGGACAAATAGGACGGTTGATAGGGATATCACCAAAGTTGGGACCACCAAGTCGCGAGAGTTGGGTGTCAAAGTAAGAGAAAGCACGCCCTTGAAGGAGTGGGTCATTGGAGTGCTCGACACCAGGAATCATATGTTGAGTGCACTGGAAGGAAAACAGGTCAAACCAAGGTGTTGTACAATTGCTAAAAAGACTTACGAAAGCAACTTGCTCGACCTCAGGGAAGAACTCTTCCGGCTTCTTATTGAGCGTCAGCGTCCCGATATATTTCACCGGCAAAATATCCTCCGGAATGAACTTGGTCGCATCCAACAAATCAAATTCAAACTTATCGGCATCGTTTTCCGGAACGACTTGAATTCCAAATTCCCATTGAGGATAAGCACCGGCATCGATAGAATCATATAGATCTCGACGATGGAAATCTGGATCTTGACCTGCCAGTTTAAGGGCCTCATCCCAAACAAGGGAGTGCGTGCCCAGTTTGGGTTTCCAGTGGAATTTGACAAAGTGACGTTCCCCTTTGGCGTTCACAAATACAAATGTGTGGACACCGAAACCTGGCACGAGTGATGAGTAAAAAGCTTTCTCACAAACTAGAACGCAGGTAGACTAACCCGGCATATGACGGAAGGATCGGGGAATCGAACGATCGGAGAATGTCCACATGACCATGTGCGCCGTTTCTGGGGCAAGGGAAAAGAAATCCCACGCGTTGTCATGAGCCGTTGCTCCCTGAGGGATTTCATTATGTGGCTCCGGTTTGACTGCGTGAATGACGTCGGGCTATTGTATAGTAGTTATAAGTTTGGTTGTTCAATGAACATTTCGACCCAAAGTTAAATCGACACTCCCCTCGCGGAGCACCCCCGCGCGGAGGCTGCTCCACGCTGCCCACGCCACCGTTCAGCGCCACACCGAGAACAGGGGTGGGGTGGGGGGCTACTGATACGCCGATCTCATGACCGTGCGCCTTCGTAAAGGACCGACAAATAGTAAATAAATACTCACAAACTTGATTGCATCTTGAATGAAGAACACGGGGATGTTATTCCCAACAATATCGTAATTTCCCTCTGGAGTGTAGAATCTTGTTGCGAATCCACGAACATCACGTACAGTGTCCGCCGATCCGCGCGCTCCTTGAACGGTGGAGAATCGAACAAAGGTAGATGTAGTACGCGTAGTATCGTTGAAGAGTGAGGCGTAGGTGTATTCCGGAATGGCAGTATGAAGGGTAAAGTAGCCATGAGCACCTGTACCACGCGCGTGTACCACACGTTCGGGAATACGCTCGTGATCGAAGTGGGAAACCTAGAGCAGGGTAAAAGGAGATGAGAAACAAGTGGTTAGTGGATTCAAGCAGGTGTGTACCTTCTCGCGGAAGTGGATATCTTCGAGGAGGGTAGGGCCGCGAGCGCCTGCTTTGAGAGAGTCATCGGTGTCGGCTTGAGATACGCCAAAGTAGGACTTGAGTGGGGTGTCCTTGTGACCATCTTGCGTGTCATCCTGGAGTTGCTTGACTTTATCGTCACCGCCAGTCAGACTGGCAGCGACTGTCATATTACGATGGAGCGAGATTACACAGACGCGACGCGAGACGAAATTGGGGACTTACGTGACTTTGCAGCGTGAAGGAGTGATGCCATAGATGAGAGAAGTTGTTGGGGGTGGGGGTAAGAAAGAAAGAGGGTGATCAGCTCCCGGTCTATATAATGGCGGAGAGCGTCTACTTCATGATGACGCTTGTTAGGTGGTGTCAACGTAAACAGCTTAGTCATTCGGGGGTCAGCTGAAGAGTCATCTTAGGGTGCACACGGCACATGCCACGCGGCTGGGTGGCTTGGAAGTTTACCCGCACCAGTGGGAAATGCGGCAGTCTCACACTAACGGAGGTGAGGTAGCGTACGAATTGACCGTTTCAAGCCCGAGTACGGAATCTACGCTGGAGGAGGATATCCAACCCCTTGTTGGTAGCAGGATTCATTTAGACAGAAACGTAAGTTTGACCCCAATGCACAAGCGGACAAGGGAGTCACTTTTTTAGGCAATCTTTGATTTGCACTGACATCCTGCCCGTGACTCGATCTCAGGACCTTGCCGAGGTTAAACACGTGTGCAACAGCCCTTTCCCCATCCCCCGTTCATCAACTGAGGGACCCAGCGAGAAGTTTTAAAACAGATCGGCGCGTCGATCGGTCTCGACAACTCCCTTATTTATAATTTGGGATCGTCGCCGTAGCCGACATCAGTTCGTTCTCGCTGGATCATGTCCCTCGTGTTCGAACATTTGAGAGCATTGTTACATGCGGATTCTGTCTTCAGATGTGTTCCCTTACAAATCACCAGACATCAGTCGAAAGTCCAATCTTAAACCAAAAGTCCAGTTTCCCTTTTCAAAGCACGATGTGTCAGATCCAACATACGAGTTGTCGCCAGGTCTTGATTCACCCACATGTGGACGGTCTCTGATCTACAACCAACACTGAGTTTTTTCACGTTTCAATACATCACCCCCAATGGATGTCCAAGGAAACAAGGAAAGAAGAAGTAGCCTTTACGGTGCCAGTCGAAATATCTGGCCACCAGGCGCACAAGTCTCGACGCCCCGATCGTTGTTTACATAAAGTGAGGGTCAGATTGGCCCTCTGTCGTGGCTTAGAGACTGGTGTGCTTGATATCCGTTAGAGTACATTCGGGACCAACCCAGGCCCTCTTAACATCTTCCCTTCCGTTCCCTGAAGAGTGCTATTGCAAAGTACTAAGATCATGACCGATCGATCCTCTTGCACGTTCCTTTAGAACACCCCAAAAGCACATGTTGAGATTGGCGTCGATGAGTTTCCATGCATTTGGTACTTCCCCCAACTGGTTTGGACCACGTGGAACTTGTTCCCGTAAACTCGACTTGGATGCAATTAATGGTGTTCAACGGCGTTTCGATCTTTTTTTTCGATTCGAAAGAGGTCGAGGTCGACAGAAATCCTTGTATAACATCTAAAAACTCGCATTGGCGTTCCTAATGATACCCCGGCTATCGCTTTAAGCAACCTAACTGTTATGCACTTTAGGGCCGTGGTGGTTGAGGGGATAGAGCCTTGTAAGTCGCCTGGAGCTTCTACACTGATTGATCTAGTACGAAGTCATATAGCGCCACTGTGGCAAACGAGCACCGTCAGGAGTGGCAGTAATAACAGTTGGCGGCTATGACTGATGTTGGTGCTGGTTCCCCATTTGTTCGCCATAATCATTCATCTCAACATTTCGGATGCGTGTGTAGAGTTGAGTGAAATTTGGGTCGATAGAGCAACGTCGGTTCACTAGTGTCGAAATGTTCTATCCATATCACCTAGTTCACTCGAGGGAAGCCGTATCTAGTGCAATCATTTAATTTGCTAGCTAAGCAGTTCCGTATTATCCCATGTGCTTCTGCTGTTGTACAATATTTTTGCTCCATTGGAACATGTATAAATCCTGGCCGCATGCATCGATCGATATGATGGGGTGGTGGTTGTAGTTCTCGGCCGCCACCATGCGGTGGCATGAGAATGCTGCAACGGTGCGGCGATCCCTATTAATGTAGTCTACAATGAGTTTACAAATACGGGAGAAGGAAAAGGGCTGGTGGCCGATGCCAGGTTTAAACAAAGTCTTCGATCGGGTACGTTGGTAATATATTAATGTCGGGGATATGTGTCATGCGTATAAATAAAGAAATAAAAAGATAGAACGTCAGTAATCTCTCAGTGAGACTTCAACAGTGCGCGTCAATAGTGCGCGACCCTTCTCGATGATGCGTCAAATCGCTCCGGCAAGATTATCAGCATGTGGTGCAATATGCCATGAAATAATGAGTTGTCGCAGCTACCGATGCATAGCCAATTAATGTTTGAGTGGGAAAAAAAAAAGAAAGCATGAACAGTACTTGCGAACAATACATAAGTTTTGCAATCGCTGGGCGGAGGTTTTGGGCCCAGTGTCCATTCCTTTTCGAGGTGCCATTCGGGTCATATGTAGGAGGGTAGGGATGGTGAGACAGATGGACCTAGCGCCACCTTTGAGAGCCTATATTTAGCGTATATTTGCATGTATTTGTGTCGACAATCTCATCTTCTGTCCTTCCGCTGCTGCTGGGTTTCAAGTACTTGTCCCTCGTCATGATTCTCATTCTTAGTCGGTGTGGGAATGCATTAGAGTGGGACAGCTTCGTTGGTAGAGCATGGTCCTTTCACTTCGGAGGCTCCTTTGGTTCAAAGGCTCGATCAGCATAGCATCTCCTGTTTGCAGGATCCCAGTCTCTGCTAAAATAGATTGCCGTTGACAGTTCCGCGTTTCTAATCTCCCTGTGTATGGTTATCTGAACATCATTAAGCAAAGCGAGTGCTAGGTGCGGGTGCGCCAAGACTGAGCTAAGCACAAGCGATTGTGAGCTGGTCACTCCGATATATATTTAGTCTTACTAGTACGGAAAAAAAGTGGGATAATGGTGATTGGAACGTCCAGCTTGACTTAGATGTCCCAAACCCTTCACATCCCAGTCAGATCCACCATGGGCCGTGTTTACTTACCACCGATCGACGGTGGTGTTGTTCATTGCCGGTTCGTAAGCTGTGGACCCCATTCGACAACCGGGTTTCGATTTCGTCAAATTGCTGGCAATCGATGGGCAAATGGATTATTCTGCTTCACGGTCGGTTCAGAACTTATACTCCATCCCATTTCTGGTTAACTATATCAATGACGCTGGTCGCCCGTTTGCGTGAACGAGCTATGGCAAGACGGCATTCTCTTCTAGCTTTCTTATTCCCGAAACCGGCGACGCGCACAGCCTAATACAATGGTTACCGTAATGCGCGCGCGCCTCTTAGCCTTCAGCCGCCGCCCGGCTTACTCTTTACGGATTGGAAGCACAGCCTTGACGAGCCTTGATAAGCCATAGGGCGAAGGGAGGCCCACATACCTATGTGACTTGGGCTCTCCCAGCTTAGCGTATCGAACACCTCTGTGGTATGTACTAGAAGAGTTCCCTGTACCATCCATCATCGAGTTGACGATAACGTCCCGTCACGGTAACTGGATGATTGGATTTTATTGACATAGGATGACTACATCTCAAGAGTTTTCCGAAAAAGCGCTCAAGCAGGTCATTTGCCGTAGCTCGTTCTCCTTGGATGGAGCGTTCCAGCTCCGCTTTTGGGAATCAAAAGCCGCCTCAAATTTCGTCCGGGTCTCCCGCAGAGGTCCCATCTCCGACGTATGGAATATCAATATCTCCCTGTCATTGCGTCCTCCCAGGTCCAGTGCGCCCCCGTTATGGTGAATTGACTCTTCAGCCACCCCGGTCCTTCTCACTGATTCCGCTATTTTTGTGTCTTCGTGCTGATCCGAACATCTCACCTGCGCCAGGAGTGATGTTCGTGCAGCTACAGAAAGAAGGCTGATCGAAACCTTCCGTAAGGACGCGACCGATTCGGAGGCACTACCCGATTATGAAGATCAAGAGGAGTCTCAGATAACAAAGCTACGGCTGCAATCTGACTCATGTATTGACGCAACTGTGCTCGTTACCGGATTTTCCTACGAGCGGGTGTTTATTCATTGTTCTTCCATATCTGGATCCACCGCGCTTTGCATCGTGAGTTATCCAGAGTCGCTCTGTTGCGGCACTGCACCCTGACAAATCCATTCCCCCCTTTACTAGCCTCGCCGCCTGGGATCTCGATTGAGGATCCTCTTATCGAGCAAGATGGGCGATGTGCATGTTTATCTTCCCAAAGACTTCCGAGGTAGACTCATTTGTTGCATGCGAGACGATATTGACCATAGGCGTTGCATGTCTTCCGGTATTTTGCGCACGCTGAACACCTACCAGGCTACCCGTGAGGGAGTGACCCGAAGCTTTTTGGGGGGATGCCAGAAAGTGGGAGAAGGGGATGAACTGGATGCTTGGGCGGTCAACGGAAAGGTATACGTCCAGTATTACGACGAAGAACACTGGTCCCAATCTTCTCCCTTTGGGAATGTCAGCAATGGCCAGGGGGTGCAAAGGACAGGGATCGTCGGCTTTCTAAATACTAAAGGGGATCCGGAAAGTGTTGATGATAAACAGCCGCAGACTTCTATTAAGCCGTCCAAGCGATTACCGCCTATCCCCGGCGTTACATTCCACTCGGACCACCCAATTCCGCTCAATCATACCCAGATTTTAGTAGACTCATCAGCAGCTAGAGAGTCGGAGGCAGTTGTTCCGAATGCTCCTCCAGGTACTGCGCTTTCCACTGCACATCAGCTGCACGCAATGGTTTCTGGTATACGCGAAAAGATCTATGGCGGTATTCCCGTTACTATCCTGCCAGGAGGGCTTGAGACACTTTGTGCTCTGTCAATAGCCAACCTTAGCAACGTGGAGCAACAATCCTCCACGATAGCTTCCATGACCACGATCTCCTCAACTATACTCCGGTTTCATGAAGACATCCAACCACATCTAGACGGAATCAATGCTTTGACGGAGTCGTCACACTCGCACTCACACTCACACTCAAGTGTTGATTGGGCCGGACCATCACTGTCGTCGTCGCAATCCTCGCAAAAAATTTGGAGTCCTGCCTAGCAAAAAATGTAAAAAGTAAAAAGTAATACCGGCTCACCATATGTTCGATTGTCTTGCCGCTTGACGCCCTACACCGCTCGTTAATTGCCTCCGTGTTTCGTGCTTATTCTTTATATGTTCCTTTAATATTTCTCTTGCGGTACGTATGTTTACTATAAGTACAAGGCCAGAGAGCCTTCGGGTACGTTCTCTGTCTTGATACCATCTCTCCCCTGCATGCTAAATCTTCTGACCCTCGAGTGTTGTCGCTAATTGTTAGTTGCCCGTGATTTTTTGAGTCCTTTTCTGTATTGGCATGGTGGCATTTCTCGATGTGTGCGCGGTATTGGACTATGTGGGTCTCAACAGTGGTCTGTGATTGGCTTCGTAGGAACCTGGTCTTAGGGGTGTTCATCGAGTGGAGTCTTCGCGGTCTCACTGGCTTCTTTTTCTGTTTCATGTTATGGGTCAAACAGTGTAGAGACGAATTCAAATGAAGATTCAAATTTCGAGCCATGGGGAGAGAGTGCGTTCTCATTTTGCTTGCATAACCAGGAGAGATGCATTGTAATTGAGGTTTTCAGTAGCCTGTAGCTCTCGACTGCCCGAGTAAGATAGAAATCAGTGAGCAGCGAAGTCAGTTCACCATGTGAAGTAGATCGTTTAGTATTTCAGGTTGGTGTTTAAACAACGCACGTCGAGAGGTCAAAGTCTAAGATTAGAGTGATTCTTGGTTGTTGTGTACATAAATGCCGCCTCAATCAGGAGACCCCCGAGGCTGATTGAAGTGGTTGAGATCATTTCAACCTCACATGATTTACAATCACTTCAACTGGGTCCCGTGATTGTAATCACACCAATTACGGGGGTGATTGAGCTGATTCAGTGATTGTACGGTTGGTTGTATCGGCGCGCTATCACATTCTCTCCCACATTGAAGTTTATCAATAAAGTTATTATATTTGAACATTATGTTGCATACATACTTGGGAAAAGAACCCAGATACAAGTTATTACAGTAGTACCCAAACACAATGTAATGCAAAATGAAACACAAAATAAAGAGAAGAGGAAAGTGGGTGAAAATACAATGTAATCAAAGAAAGCAGACGCGCGCCTCAACCGCTGAACCGTTTGGCACCAAACCCGGCATAAAGGTAGAGCTAGTCATCTTATATCGAACAAGCCTAAGATCGTCGGAAACGGATGAGTGGTTGTCGAGTACATGTGGTAAGAAGTTGGGGATAGTGTCGCGCGTGAGAAGTTTGGTTGGAGGTTGGAAATGACATGGAAAAAAACATACAAAAATCATGGGAAGGGAGGGGGATGTACCAGAGGGTATTGGGGAAGGGTCAGGCAATCGCAGAATGGTGGTGGCTCATGTAAACAAGCACAAGAGGGTGGTTAGGTGGTCAGTTTAGCAACAAACACAGTGAACTGCCATACTTACGACTCGACATACAACACAGGGTAGTTTTGGGTGGCAAACCCACCCTCATTCTTTCTTTTTCAAGTAAGGAACATCTGGGGTGGAGGAAAAAACATTGTGTTGTGAATGCAACTCAAAAAAAAAAAGAAAAAAGAGACACACATCATCATGTTTGTTCATGCAGTTCCCACAGCTCAGTTTGTTTGGGTATTGTGAGTTGTTAATTTGGTGTTGCATGTGAAGAGAGAGTGTAGTGGAGTAGTGGAGTGCATGAGTTGGAGCAAAGAAAAAACTTCTAAGTTGCAAACCCATTCATTTGAAACTGTACAGCACCTGGATGCAAACGATGGACTCACACACATGGATGTATCCATGTGTGGTTGTGGTGATTGAGATGATTGAGAGTAGTCAATTGGGAAGATTGGGCAGATTGAGTGATTGAATTGCTCTCAACTACATAGGTCAATCGGCCTTGGGGGTTTCCTGATAGGCTGAGTGAGGCGAGTGCATGATTGATGACAGAAAGATTTCAGCAAGGCATTCCAGAGAACCAATCTAAGACACCAGGCACAGTCTCCATGAATGAAGAGCTAATGAAAGGGTATTAAGTAACAGGCTAATGTAATAGGAGGGCTAATGCAGAAGCTCAGTCTCTGTGAATGAAGAACTGAATTTATTATGGTTAATACTAACCTAATGCGGAAGCTATAATACTGTCAGGGCACAGCCCTTGACCCCACTCACCCTCAGACACCCTCACCCTTTCCCTAACCACCCTCTCCCCACATTTCCCCATTCCCCCTATCCTTCCCCCCACTGTTTCACACAATGATGTGCGCACATGAACCCGTGGGAACGTTCTGGGTGAGTGACTTGCCCAGAAATGCACAGCCACAGCCATGGGAACTTTCTGGGAGAGTAACTCGTCCAGGACACATGACTGTGGGGACATTCTGGGCAAGCAGCTCACCCAGAACTTTCCCACAGGTCACACCCATTATGGAAAGTTGGCAGCAAGCAGGAACTGTATAGTTCCTAGGGTCCTTTTGTGTCGGCCTCACAGGGGGCTGAGAAGCTTACCCTTCTTCTCAGCTCATTCCCTGTGAAGGCTGAGGCTAGTCCCCTCAGTGACTTTGAGGAGTTAGCAGCTGGGGAGAGTACCCCAGCTTCCACACCCGGCCTTGCCCTCTGGCCACTCCCAGCTGGGGTCCAGATCCTGACAAATACAGAGTAAGTAATGTAACTAGTAACTAAAACCAAAAATACTAACCTCAGTCTCCATGAATGAAGAACTGAGGGGAAAAGGAAAATAGACCAAAACAATTACCTATATACAATGCAGTCACGGTATCAATACAACGGAAATGAAAAGTAAGATCATGTGAGTTTGGTTAGTGAGTCATGTGTCGTTGTAACTCCAACATAATGGAGTCTGACATCATAGTTGACATCATTGCAAGTTCAATGATGCATGCATCCATCCAACAGGAACTTGAAGTGGGAGGAAATGGAATGGAATAGCTGGTCGAGAGACTCCTCCCTTTCTCCCAGCAATACTGCAAGTTTGCATGACAGCATATAGTTGGAACAACGGGCTTAATTCTTATACAACTCTTTGTCTTAGATCCCTTGCAGACTATATACTAGCTGGACTTTATCCTCACCAGCATCTCCACTGGACTCTGCCATGATTGGGTATGAGGTTTGTGGCTCAAACCTCCCTTTTCTTCCCCAGGGCAGCCACTGGAACAGTGTCAGTTTGCTGGTTGGCAAGGTCTTAAACCGGACTAGTTCTCCATGTTGATCTGGATAGGTCTCATGATGGTAATCCCAATATTGGGAGTCTTCCTTAATAAAGGTTTCTAGTTCCTCCTCTCGGGTTGGAGGAAACTCTGCAAGCAGATTGTTAGCACAGGCAATCATGCATCGGTGCTGTCATATCCATCCATGGCCATTGTCTTCCACTACCTCTGATCCTTCCAGACTACCTCCACTCCTTCTTCACTAACCTCGGAGCCCCCCATATTCCACAATCGCCTCCGACTCCCTTGATGGTTACCACCCCCTCTTTTCAATATATTACCTACACCTCCCTAAGTATGGAGCCCTGAAGGCCTCCGGACAGCTCCAATGTCTGCTGGCGCACTCCTGCCCCTGCTGGGCAATTCACTTGCTTGCCCTGCAAGTCTACCTTCAGGCCTATCCCTCCTTTCCATGTCTGGGTTATAGCCTGCCATTCTGCTAACTCCATAACCTGACTTGTTGGTAATATTCAGTCAGCTAACATTTAACTCTGTTAGCTCTGCTCCGCTCAGCCCCACCATTCACGGGCCTGCCCTTGCTGTAACTATATATACTTGACTTGTACATAGGTTACACCCCAGTGATAAAATTGACTAGAGTTGATCCCCCTTTTTAGTTCTTGCTGCCAGTAAGTAAATTAGGGCACAGATGTGTAACTAGGCACAGTGCTCCTGGTCTGAGTCGCTGAGGCCGAAGCCCTCTGCCATGGAGACAACTCCTCCATCTCGCTTCCAGTCTCTAACAGGTGCTCCTCCCAATAATCCTGTAATTCTTTACCATGTAATTCCCAAGGCCTAGGAAGTCTTGGTTGATTAACTCGGCTAGTGAGGAAGAGGTGATTAACCTCGTTGTCCTCAGCAATTTGATCCTCATCAAGTTTCACTGATTCACACATAACTGGATATTTATTTTTGTGGAAGTGGTAGGACTTAATCCTCTTCCATGCAACTGGCTGTTTAAAAATGGTCCCATCTAATTCTTGTAAGATAAAGGCACCACTTTGTAAGCATTGGACAATAATATACAGTCCAAACCAATGAGGTTTCCCTTTCATATCATGCTGGAGTTTGATCCGCTCATTTGAGACAAGGACAAATTCCCCATTTTTATATTCACCCTTTTTCTGGACTTGAAATTGGCTCTAGCTGGATAGTCAAGGAATTCTTCCCACTGGCTAAGTTGGTGGATCCGCATAGCCAATAATTCTTTTGTTGTATATATCGATGGCCAATCTAATGACTGAAATGTATGGTCCATAATGTCAAATGGCATCAAAGGGTGTTGCCCATACAAAAAATAATCGGGTGTTGTAGGAGAAATAATATTCAAAGAATAAAACAATGATGTATCAGAATAGTCAACAATCAGGTGACAAGTTCAAATGTTTAACAGATCTCATGATCTTTATGAGACTGGATGCACATTAGAAGCTCATTGTAATTATCTGCACCCATGTAGCACGAGATTTAAGCATGCCTAGAACCTGGCATAGGTGTAGGAAAATATAATATTCAAAGAATATATCCCTACAACAAGAAAATAGCACATAGATGGCAGAATAAGAGGGAACATTGGGAAAGAAATGTAAATATCTCGGGAACCAGTAAACCTTTGACTGTAATCTTTTTGCCATCTGAAAGGACTGTTTCTTAACTTTATCCACGGTTTTGTTTCATTCTAAAAGCTTCAAAACTGACGGAGATATCGCTCAAACGGCGAAACACTTTATAATTCATATATATTTGTTTGCTAATTCTTACAAAAAGTAATGTGACTCAAGGGAAATATA